ACAAGAGCCACCCACCAATCAGCACCAGACTAATCTCTTCTCTCTGGAATTCCCCTAACCTGGCTTAAAAGGGGGCCTGCAAGCCTCTTGGGGTCACCATGTAGCACCCCAACTTGTTGACAGATGTTTTTTAATAAAACATTAGTACTGACTGCATAAGTGACTTGGTTTTTTTTTTTTATGGGATTTCTCACAGACCCTAACAGTATTATGTCAATTCTAACGATTCAAACACGGATCCCCATGTATGTATGACAGGTCGACGATTTATCCACTGAGCCATCTCCCTAACCAACAAAATGCATATGTGTCCATATAAGAAAACAAAATGGAATCATGGAATTCATTAAGTACTGCCATCCTCTGGAAGACTTCGGAGATGCGCACTTCTCACTCCTCTTTCTACTCTTGTGTCCATCTTTCTCCCCCACCCGTTCTCTAGCTCCACTCAAAGGCATCTACATCCCAGAGCCTGCCACATGTCTCCCTGAAGTTATATATGACCCATTTTTAACAATGAGGAAATTGGGCTAAAAAGTCCTGAAACTGTTTCTAGTTCTGAAATTTTAGCGGCCGTTCTGGATTTCACACTGTTCCTCTAACTCATCACTTAATTATTGTCCTCTTTGAGGAGAAAGTTCCCAGATCCATCTCAAGTTTCAGTCTCTGGTGAGATGCATCACCTAAAGGAAGCTTCCTCTGACTGCTCTCAGCTGTACATGTGTACAGATCTCAGACAACTCCTTGGCCTTCTCTGGGAACTAAACTACTTACCATGCAAGATTTCGGGTCTTTTGACATGGAAATTTTCTCATCCCACATTCTTCTTTTTATGTTATGGACAGAAACAATTTTTTTCTAAATTTTATTGAGCTCTGCTCCCCTCCCTGCCTCTCCCGTCCCCTTCAACACTGTCCCAAGGCCCCCATGCTCCCAATTTACTTAGGAGATCTTGTCTTTTTCTACTTCCCGTGTAGATTAGATCATGTAAGTCTCTTTTAGTGTCCTCATTGTTGTCTAAGTTCCCTTGAATTGTGATTTGTGGGCTGGTTTTCTTAGCTTTATGTTTAAAATACACTTATGAGTGAGTACATGTGACAATTGTCTTCTGTCTCTGGGTTACCTCACTCAAAATGATGCTTTCTAGCTTCATCCATTTTCCTGCAAAATTCAAAATGTTGTTATTTTTGTCTGCTGTGTAGTGCTCCGTTGTGTAAATGTACCACATTTTCCTTATCCATTCTTTGGTCGAGGGGCATTTAGGTTGTTTCCAGGTTCTGGCTATGACAAACAATGCTGCTATGAACATAGTTTAGCACATGTCCTTGTGGCACAATTGAGCATCCTTTGGATATATACCCAAAAGTAGTATTACTAGGTCTTAAGGAAGATTTTTTCCTAATCTTCTGAGAAATTGCAATACTGACATCCAAAGGGGCTGTACTAGCTTGCATTCCCACCAGCAATGCAGGAGTGTTCCCTTTACCCCACAATGTCTCCAGCATAAGTTGTCATTAGTGTTTTTGATCTTGGATATTCTTACAGGTGTAGGATGGAATCTCAGAGTTGTTTTGATTTGCATTTCTCTGATGACTAAGGATGTTGAAGATTTCCTTAAATGTCTTTCAGCCATTTTAGATTCATCTGATGAAAGTTCTTTGTTTAGGTCTGTACTCCATTTTTTTAATTGGATGATTTGTTTGTTTGATGACCAATTTCTTGAGTTCTTTGGAGATCAGACCTCTTTCTGATGTGGGGTTAGTGAAGATCTTTTCCCATTCTGTAGGCTGTTGTTTTGTCTTGTTGATCGTGTCCTTTGCTTTACAGAAGATTTTCAGTTTTAGGAGGTCCCATTTATTAATTTTTACTCTCAGTGTCTGTGCTTCTAGGGTTATATTTAGGAAGTAGTCTCCTGTGCCAATGTGTTCAAGAGTACTTCCCACTTTCTCTTCTATAAGGTTTAGTGTGGCTGGCTTTATGTTGAGGTCTTTAATCCATTTGGACTTGAGTTTTCTGTATGGTGATAGATATGGATCTATTTTTATTCTTCTACATGTTGATATCCAGTTATGCCAGCACCATTTGTTAAAATGTTTTCATTTTTCCATTTGATATTTTTTGCTTCTTTGTCAAAAATCAGGTGTTTGAAGATGTATAGATTAATATCCGGGTCTTCGATTTGGTTCCATTGGTCTTCCTGTCTGTTTTTATGCCAATACCAGGCTGTTTTTAGTACTGTAGCTGTAATGGATTAATTAAAAATGCTGCAGATCCCCGGATCCCCGGTGGCTGCAGTGGCAAAAACACTGTAGGTCCCTGAACGGAGCAGGCAGCTGGCCCCAGAGAAACCAGTCCCAGGCAGGGACAGTGCACGAGACCATGCCACCATGCCGCAAGTCTCTGAAGGCGACTAGTCCCAGGCAGTGGGCGAGAGATAGACGGATAGGCATGCCATGCAGAGTGAGGTTGGATATTTATTTAGTCAGTTATGAAAAGAAAGGGGGAGAAGGAGAAGAGTAGGAAGAGGGGCAGAGAGAGGGAGATAGAAGGGGGGAGAGACAGAAGGGAGAAGGGGAGAAGTGGGGAGAGGCAGAAGCTGCCTCTTAGAGAGGAAGACAGAAAAGGAAGAGATGTAGGCTGCAAGCAGGAAAGAAGATCTGCTTGCCTCAGCAGATGGGGAGGGAGTGGGCATGGCTTGTCTCTTAAAGAGACAGAATTCATAATTACAATAGCTCTGTAATAGAGTTTGAAGTCAGGAATGGTGATGCCTCCAGAAGTTCTTTTATTGTACAGGATTGTTTTGGCTCTCCTGGGATTTTTGTTTTTCTATATGAAGTTGAGTGTTGTTCTCTCGAGGTCTGTGAAGAATTTTGATGTCATCCCGCCTTCTTTCCAGGTACACTTGTCTGCCCCCTTTAATGTTATATGAGCAGAGATTTGTCAGAGAACTCAAATGAGTTTAATGATTTCAAAGTCCTTGAGGGGTTTTTTTTCTTATGAGTCAACCTCACTTTAGAGGCTACACTCCAATGAAGTGGGGTATTCGTAGATGTTACTCATACAAATGAAGGAAAACTGCTCATGGCATTGCCTTACCTGGTGCTGTAGACAGGCATAGCTGGACCTGGTGCTGTAGACTGGCATTGTCTTACCAGGTGCTGTGGACTGGCATTGTCTTACCAGGTGCTGTGGACTGGCATTGCCTTACCTGGTGCTGTGGACTGGCATTGCCATACCTAGTGCTGTGGACTGGCATTGCCGTACCTGGTGCTGTAGACTGGCTATGGATGAAAAGTGAGCACAGTTTGTTTTCTGGGTGACAATGTGACAGTGTGTAGTCAGATCTTCGAAAGTTGGGACCTAATATGAGTTTCTTATGCCACCTGGGGGTTAACTGATACAGCTCTCCAGCTTCTGCACTTCCTGTTTCAAGGTATGATTTCTCCTGCTCACAAAGGCTGTCATTGTCTTGTCACCTGCCCTTGGGCCCTTGTGAGAAGCCTAATAAACAGGGCTGCCCAGTTTGAGACTTTTGGGACTTCCAAAACTTTGAACTAAATAACTCTTGCTTCTCTGTTAAAGACTCAGATTATAATATGTGGTTATAATAACAAAACCCATGCTCACAGACCTGGCAGTGTGTTCTTTGACAAAACCCCTCGTCTTTCACCCAGTGCCGTCTGCTTATCTGCTTCCAAGAGGTTCCTGTAAGCTCCGGCCTCCCTTTGTTTGGGTATGTCATTCTGCTACAAGTCCTTCTAATCCCTGTATTCACATCTCACATTTTTCCTGTTTCTTTCTTTTTATGAACTGAGGTTGGATTAAAGGATAATCAAGAGCCCAGCTCATATGTGATCCAGTTCTCTCTAGGTGAGCAGCTAACATTTCCTTCAATGCCAACTTTTATAACAGAAATTAATTTCATTATGACCAATCAAAAGATACACTTTCATGTCTCCAAGGTGCAAATGAAATTTAGACTTGATTCTCAGCTCTCATTCAATAAGCATCCTTAAGCAAATAAGGTTTCAGGCTTAAGTCACTGAATATGTCTTAGGGGCCTCACAAAATTCCTCAAACTCAACTCAGTCCTCAGTCTGGAAAATTACCAGGATGACTTATTTTTGCTGAAACAAGAAGCTTCCTGTGACATGTAGAAGTGGTAGGTTCAACTCTCCTTCCCAGTGTGTGTGTGTGTGTGTGTGTGTGTGTGTGTGTGTGTGTGTGTGTGGTTTGCTAGTGTTGGAGGAATTAATGTGAAAGCAGCATGCAAATGGAAGCTAAGTTTGTCTCTGGGGAGAATTCTTTCTGTGAATGCAGTAGCTATCACAAATCCTCTCAGGCTTGTCGGAGATAACTTTCTTCGGCTGGCTCTATGTTCTGCCTGTTGTCAGTCCCCCAGCAGCGGTCTTCCCCCTGTCATTCTTCCTGACATTTGTTAATGGAGTCCCAGACAGCTTTTAGAGGTTAATCTTTGAAAAGATCATTGCTGCTGAGGACTGGCTTAGCAGGCAGAACTGAACTTGATTTAGAGCCTAGTTTAAACCAAATGCACATCCAGAATGAAAATAATTATTCTTTCTCTGTATTAAGCTCTTATTAAATGCCAATTATAATTGCATAATTACTACAGTCAATTCCTGAAACAGTTCTGCAATTTAAACACCCCAGCCAATTACAGATGAAGAAGAGAAGAATTAGAGGCTGGGAAGGTCACTCGAGGTAACACACCAATTGATGGCCACATTGAATTTGAACTTCTGTCTGTACATTTCCTGTTTCTCCCATATTTACATGACAATGTTGGCACGGCTCTCCATGTTTGGAATGGAAGGGGCTCTTGTAGGCAGACGCTTCATAGATGATCTGCTTGTTAATAATGTAGCCCTGTTCTTGTTTCCACTTCGTTGGAACAAGATTTGAAGGCTGAGATGTTGCAGCCTTGGTTAGGGAATTGAGCGGAGGGTTGACTTACTCACAGATGTGTCTTTACCTTCCAGGATGATTTTCAACCTGAAGCAGCCTCAGAGAGCAACTGGGAATCAGCCACAGGCCCTGTCTCTGTGAGTAATTTATAATTCTGTTGCCAGTGAACAAAACTGCTAGATGGGCTCAGATAAGCCTCAGAGGACCCTCAGCTGCATTAGGAACTCTGGCTTGACTGCAGTCCAGATCGCAGTCAGTTTGAGCACCTCTGTTTCTTTCAGGCACAGCCCCATTGGCTCCTTTTAATCTTGCATTTTCAAGAGTCTTTTCAGGCTGGGAAACTCTCAGTGTTTACACTAAGGTGACTTAAGTGAGAATTAGCCATGCACAGTTCTCTGATTGGGACATAACACATCTTAGCCTGCAGCTGTAAAACAGTTCATGGCTCATTCTATTGCTGCAAACTTAGTCATCTCTCAGGATGCTGGCCCATTATCTGCGTTGCATGGGAAGAACAGATCTTACCTTCACCAATCCTGCATGTAGTACTTATGCCATATTAAAATAGGAGATAATAAAGCCAAGCTCCTCTCAGCCAGGTCTAAGCATGGTAAGCGAGTACCTGTAGTTCTAGCGCAGTACCATCTTGCTGAGTCAGTGATCCTTGAAGAAGAAGAAGAAGAAGAAGTAAAAAGATTGTAAGAGCCAGAGGTAGAAAAACAGTATTTTTCAGACATGATAAGATGGTTACAAACAAGAATCAACAGTAGCTGGGATTGCATGCACAAGGCCTGTACACGATCAGTCCACACAAATTCTCTCATGGGTGGAGAGGCCCATGAGGTCTCTCCTCAGCTGAGGAACAATTGGTGGCTTCTGCGGAGTAGAGAATCAGTTCTCTTCAGGCACCTGCATGGCTTATAGAGTGGATTGTGCTACACCTGAGCACATACAGGCAGCACTAAGTGGACTTGGTAGGTGTTTCGTTTTTGTTTGTTTTTGTAAGAGCCCATGAAACTGGGAGGGAAAGTGCTGAGGAAATAGTGAAGGAGTTTGAAGAGAAGGAATGGAGAAGGAATAAAAATTAAAGTAAATTCAATTCAATTAATATTGTAATTTATCCTCATAAATAAATGAGAGAATCTCAGTGAGACAACGTCCTATACATGTATGATATTATCAAAAAGTTAAAACCAATAGTGCATTAGGGGACTAGATAGGAAAAGAGTGCTGAGGATCTAATGTTGGTGTTCTGCATCTCGCATGCTCAGTGCTTAGCTCAGGTGAGGCAACTCTGTCAGGTGGAGAACATCAAAATGAGGAGGGCATCATGGAGACATGGCTAAGTAGAAAAGCAGGGCACCTATCAGCCTGTGCCTAATGACAGCGACTCCACACCAGAGGGGCCTTGGAAGCCAGAGCTGAGACTGAAGGACTCCAGCTTCTCTTCAATCTCACCCATGACGGCTCAGGGTGGTCTGATGAGTCCTGCTCTACGTGCAGAGTCAAACAGTTTACATGGCCTTTATCTAATTAAGCATAATCCAGGCTTTAAACAGAGGGGAGACTGGCTTATCCCTTCGGAATATTTGGCAAAGTTCAGCCCTGGTCAATATTTACTGGAAACTTCTGGTTTGAGTTCTGAGACTTTAACCCTATTGGAAGAGCATGAGAACCAAGTGTTCTGTTTGTTGTTTCAATTAATTTTCCTTAGTATACAGCGAGCATGAGTTTCCTGCTTTATATTATACACACGTTGTATATTTTGCTCTTATCCTCTCCCACCGCTCTCTTTTGTCCTTCCCCTTGGTTGTCCCCTGCCTCTATGAAAACGTTGTTCTTTTAGATCTATTTAGAGCAGTATGTTGGATTACTAGAACAACTATCAGTTTCTATGTCAACTATACTTTGTTTTGTTAAAGCTAGTTTAATGGTTATTTTTTATGCAATAGGCATGATTTTGTGGTAATTTTAATTCAATTAACATTTTAATTTAACATTCTTCTTTGTCTTTATAAATTTATAACAGAAGCTCAATGAAACCAAATGCATGGTGCAGTTGAAGGAGATACATGTAAGTGGCTCTCTCAAAATTTTTAAAAATATTCACTTCAGAAACAAAAAAAACTTGTAGATTCATTAGCTCGCTTAATGTGTTCTTAATTATTATTCTGTGTCTCCCATCTCCCTAAACAGAATGTGGAAAACAGCCAAGAATCTCTTTCAGAGGACCAAGTGTCAATTTTACCTGTGGTTTGAATTTTCCCTCCCTCTCAGTGTTAGAGAAGATATTGTTGTCTCCATTCCAAAACTGAGAGTCCCTTAAGAGCTCATTCTTGAGAAAGGTCTGGGTACACAGCAACATTCCAGGCACTGTTGATGCGTATTGCACCCACTTTTCCCAGAGCTAGAACAAGAAGCTTTTACTTATATGTAAATGGTTTGATTGGCATTCCTACTTTTATTTCAAAGCTTTAAATGCTACGAATCTCATAACTTTGGCCAATTGATTTTGATTTGTGGGATATTAGACCCACACTGTGATATAAGGCTAATTGTGTGGTGAGTATGAACCACTGGGGATGGAGCAAATGATTATCCATACAGGGGAAATGGAGATTTGAAATTATAGTCTGACTTGTAAGTGTCATATACCCATAGCATGTGAATAGCAAAAGAGTTATAGAGAATCAAGTGTCTCTATTAGAGTTCAGCTCATGTCACACACACACGCACACACACCTAATTTAAAGAACTACATTGTCAATAATTGAAGGAGCAGGGGTTAGGTTGTTGCTAACCCCGTTAAGAGCAACTGTTGCTCTTGCAGAGGACCCAGGTTCAGTTCTCTGTAACCACTGTGGTGGTTTATGACTGACCATAGCTCCAGGTTTAAGGACTCCACACCATTTTCTGACCTTTGTGGTCACCAGGCATGTGTGTAGTACACATTAATACATTCATGCTTTGTGAAAACTCATCTCATATTCTTAAAATAAATAAATATAAGGTATTAAAAAAGAACTAAAGAAACCAATATGTCTGCAACTGCTTGAAGGTGTATTATCATCAGCAAGATGAGTATAGAGTGTGTCTTTATCAAACTGTTAACATATCCCTCTTATGTTGTGCATGACAAATACCAAGTGACCAGATAACCAATTGCTTGTATATACCTGTGTGGCCTGTTAACAGGTGACGGAAGCACCGTGGTGGGGCAGGACGGGAATATCTCCTTATTTTGATGGGGCTAACTAAAAGTGGACATATTCATCAACCTACCTCCTACCCCACTGCACTTCCCAGTTCCCACATTCTCCCTAATCCTCCTATAAAGCACAAAATGAAACTGCTCCTAAGTCACACAAGTGATAGATAATTTCATTGGCCTCCATAATTTCACCAACAAGGGTGCAGTCCTCTGAAAGTGGGGGATCATGGAATCTTATGAACAGACCTATGAAGTGTAGGTGGCTGAAGAGGGAAGAATCAGAGGAACATGGGAGCATCTGTGTGTAGCTGGAGTCTCTGAAGCGTGGTCTATTTCTATTTCTTACATTTCCATTCTAAAAGGAAAGTTTTCACTAATCTTCACTTTCCTGTAATGACAGGAAATATTTACCCGTGGGGAGATCTTAGTTGCTTGATAGTTTTTTTAAAGATGTTTAGATGATCATTTGAGGCTGTGTTATTTCTATTTCTCTATTAATGGTTCATAAATTTTCACAGAGATGTTCGACTCATGGCTCATTTACCTCAAGATTGTACAAGAGTTAGTGGTGTTTAAAAACTAAGTAAGAATGTTTTATTTCTGGCAAAATACATAATCCTTTTCTGGTCTTTCAAAGACATTATATTCACCATTTAAATAATATTGTGAGGCTCTTTAAATGACAACTGGGATCATTGTTCAGCTATAGCAGTCCTTTTACATTTTTTTTCTTTTAATGTGCTTCCCATGTGAACCTTGCTCTCTTAAGAGAGTCCGTTTCAGGGCTAATTATCTTATTGATGGTAAATAAGTTGGTTAAAGTGCAAGATTATATTAGAATATCTCCAGAGTGTGATCAAATTCATCTCAGCCCATATTTGCACTGGGAAGTGCTGTGGAGGTGGGGCACAGCAGCTCGGCAGGAGAGAACAGACCATACCCTCGGAAATTGCTTTAAAGGAACTCAGAGTTTATTATTATTATTTAATATATGAATGATCTGGATTAGGAACCAAGAAATCAGATGTCAAATTTTATATTCTACTTACCCTGTATCTTTTGAAACGATCACAGCTCAGATAAGTAGAAAGTTTTATGACAATTACGGGTCATATTGCCATGCTATGATATTTTAATGATGTATTACGCTGCAGAAAGCAACTCTGTTCCTTAGGTATAGTTGCATGTGTTGGAACCCACAAGACTATACAGTAAATGTACAGCTGATACAGCTGATAGGCAGATTCACGGGAAGTGTAGGCATTCTATTCTGAGCCCTAGGTCGGTACTGAGGTTGGCACTCAAGGCCCCCGATATGCATGATTGTTGTATTTCTTGCAATGGACCCTTTCTAAGTACATTAAGCTGTGTGTCACTCTTAGGGGGTGTCCTATCACTCTTCATCAGTAACGGACCCCACGCTCTCTGCTGACGCTCTGGACAAAACAATTGCAGAATTTGATACCGTGGAAGATCTGCTTAAGCATTTCAACCCAGAGTCTTGGCAAGACGATCTAGAAAATTTGTATCTGGACACCCCTCATTATAGAGGCAGATCATACCATGACCGGAAGTCCAAAGGTAAGAATCAGAGTCTTGGATGTTCTTCATCAGTAAGACCGTTCCGAATAATAATAAGAATCTGTGGTGTAATCTATTTCATTCTTTCAGCTCTGGGGAGTACTGTCAGTCGACTGTCACATCTATACGTCACAGCACTTTCAAATTTAGTTGTGTGTTTTGTCCAAACCATTGCTTGTATATGACTAGAAAAAATCAACTACAACTTGAAGACCTTATCAAAAGGATCTGTGACCTAGACAAATGGTTCAGGAGGTAAAAAACTTGCTTCACAAACATCAGTACCCAAGTTTGGATCATCTGAACCCTGATAAAAAGTACCTACCTGCAATCCCAGTCCTGGGGAAGCAAAGACCAGCGGATCTCTGGGCTCATTGGTCAGCAGATATAGCCCCAAAATAATGAGAAACCCTCCCTCAAGAAATTAAAATTATACTTTAAAAAATGAGTTAGAAAGTGGTTGAGAAAGATCCCTGGCATCAAACTGTGACCTCCACATGCATGTTCATATATGTCGGCGTACGCAGATGCACACACACAAAAGTACACATGCATATATATAACACACAACAGACATAAACTATCTCGGCTAGCTTCCTGTATCTTAGCAGGTAAAACCTGATTTTACAGTGTAAGAAGCCAAAGTTGGGAACTGTGTGTGGGTCACGTGCTGGAGCTGCACGGTTAGATGATAATGGAGAAGAAATGAGCTTCCTGGCCTCTGGCTTATACCGGAATTGTCCATGTGATCAACTGCTGTGCTCTCTCGACAGCTGTCATTGTTGGCTTGGTGTGGGATTGCCAGTGTTGGGGCCAGAGGGCTGCTGTGAACAGCTAGGTCTCACTCTGTGGACCAGTTCAGTTCTATCCATTCAACATTGGTTTGCTTAAACATACATTGCATGCATGTTGAACATACCCTCCTACCTCATCCTCCCTTTCCCATGCCTTCCCCACCTATTGACCCTCTAGTCCTCTGGCCATTGCTTCTACAGTCAAGTTTTCTGTTTAGAGAATCTTGCATAACTATATGAAGTCTAGAAACCAACAATGAAAAGAAAATGTGCATCTCTTTCTGAGATTTAATAATTAAGTTAACACGATTATCTGCAGTCACATGCATTTTTCTGTGGCTGATAATGTTCATTCTTATCTATATCTACTAAGTACTAAGCACCTGTGTGATTTGTAGGCTGATAAGATAATGTTCCCAAAAGAGAATAAGAATTTATGGGATTATTTGAAAGCATATCTGAGCACATTTTATTGCAAGTTTGATGGGGAAAATAATGAGAGACAAAGAGAAAGGAATGTTAATACAGAAAATTTGAGGACAAATAATAATTCTAACGCTTTCAAAATTTATCGCACAGAAGACTGACATAATTAGAAAGAATTGTGTTTCGGTGTGTAACTCTGGGAATCAGAGAACAACATGGCTGCCTTTAATCAAATTCCTGTAAGGTACTTGCTTTATTTGATAAGATTTGTTTAAGTTTTGCTAACAAGTCTCAGAGGGTTTGTGTCACATATATCTGAAGGGGTTCAGCCAAGACATGGCCTGTTTCCCACACTGTGTAATGTCAAGGGTGTTTCCAGGCTGAGTCCAGGCTGCTCCCACACAACCTACGAGAATGCTGAGCCCCAATGACTAATTACTAAACTTACGTCAGGGTTTTGTGCTCCCGGCTTAGGTCATAAATCTCACACACAAAGCATACACGGTGGAGGAAGGACAAAAGAGGAGCAGGCACCCTGCTGTTATAGAGATGCGCCATGTGCAGATCATGTAACAGGAAAGAACATCCTCAGGGCTCAGGCTAGATTCATTTCACAGATGGCACTGGTTTATTTAAGGTGTTACTGTATTTGGTGGATCTCCACTAGTCACCACTTAAGGAAGGACAGCAGACCTAGGACTTGAAAAGCCCAGCAGAAAACATTTTGAAAACATGGTCTCAGACACAGAATCAGTAGCGTAGGACCCTGCCTTCAGGCTTCTCAGGGACAACTGCTGCTGAACGGAGGTGCTCAGGGTCTCTTCCCTGCAAACAGTAAAAGCCTTTCATCCCAGCCAGGCAGATCTCTGTGATGAAGCCAATCTGGTCCTCAGAGTGAGTTCCAGGACAGCCGGGGCTACACAAAGAAACACTGTCTCTGGTCTGGGGGAAGGGTGGGGGCTGGAGGGGGAGAGGGGATGTTAGATATCACTAATCCTGAGCTTTTTTTTTTCCCTGAAGATTATGTTGTATGGGAGACAGGAGACCTGGATTCAAATCCTAAGCTTATATGGCTTTTCTTTCTTCTTCTTCTTTTTTTTCTTAAATCACTGATCTTTCTTCTGTCTCTGGTTCCTATTGGGACCTATCAGCTGCTTGTGAGGAGGGCTATTCAGGGAACTCTAAAGAGCTGTAACAATGTGACACTTAGCTAGCTGTACCAACTTTCCGTTCTGAAATATGTGTGCATCGCTTCCTTTGTGAACCCATGTTGTCCCTTACCCTGTCCCTGCTGTATCCAAAGTTATGAGTACTTGAGAGACATAACAAATACAGAGAAAGCTTTGTGGTTTCTTTAATGGGATAAGCAATCCCAGGACCTTGTAGAATCTTTATTTTGCACAAATCAATAATTGTATGGGATGTGTTATAAAATACAGCTGCCTAACCCCAACCCAGACATGTTGCCTCAGAATCTTTGAGGGCAGAGATGGACACTGATGACTTTGAGGTGTCCTGAAAGCCAACATGAAGAGAGCATCCGGTCTGCGTCTCTAACGTGCATTTCATATATGATTGGAAAACTGATGAAATCCTGAGGACTGTACTCGGGGCCTTGTACACATCTAACAAGTGTTCTGCCCCTAGCTCTCTTCTGCCATTCAGCCCAGTGTTTTCCTGAAATCTGTAGAAATTCACCCATAGACAGACTGTCACTTCGCTGAGAATGCCCTTGCTTACAGAAATAACTGACCTCGCCAGAGCAGTCAAGGCAGTGTTGTACTTGATGTTTGTGGCAAAGTAAACGGCATTTCTCTCCCCTGTTGGCTTGGGTCCCCTAGCCTCTTATATAAACAGCCCAATGGCGGACTCACTCATACCTTTCATGTACCTTACCAAGTCAGCACTGGCCTGCACAGAATGAATGTGCTGGTCTAACTGTTTGTCGTCCCACAGAGGAAACAGAAGGCGGGTTTACTATTTCAGCGTGTGTTTTCTGCCTCTAGGACTTAAAATACAAGCAATACGACAATACTTGTGTCGTGATGGCCGAGGGAGGATCAGTGAGTAAGACGTGAACAGAGAAAAGCAGACATGGGGTGCTGACCCCTCCTTTGAGATAAAACCAAGAAATTCCCCCACTGCCATAGGAAATGTGTTTATGATATTGTACAGGAAAAGAACTAGAATTTCTTTTTGTCTCAAGGTGGTGGGTGCTATATCTGGGCCTTGAGAATGCTAAGCAAGCATGCTTCCTGAGTTAGGTTGTTCAACCCCCCTTTTACTTCTTATGTTGAGATAGGAAAGGAATGCCTCAAAATTAAAACCTCCTGACTCCGCACCCCCCATAGCTGGGATTATAGGATGGTGCAATCGGTCTCAGTACTTCTCCTTGTTGACTCATCACGTACCTTTTCTTTTCTTCCTGTTGCCACAGGAATCAAAAGGGGCATTTCCCATGGTTCTAAGGAGCAAGAGTCATGGAAACTAGAATGTAACAGGGAAATAACACAATGTAATAGAGTATGACAAGGACACATCTGAAGCTAAGAACTCACATAGTAGTGAATCAGACTCCTGCGTGTGTGTGTGTGTGTGTGTGTGTCTGTGTGTCTGTGTGTCTCTTTGTGTGTGTCTGTGTGTGAAAATATGGTGTCACTCTGTTGCCCAAGCCACCCTAAACCTGACAGTTTTCTTCCTGCTTCAGCTTCCCCAGTTTTGGGGTCACAGTTGTGGGTCACCACACCTGGCACAAAAACAGTTAATATTTTGAAATCCAATGTTATGATTTACTTCTACTTTCTCTGGTGGTGGGGGCAGTAGGTGAACATGACAGAGAGGAAATCTAGGCCGGTAGTAACTCTGTTCAAGCCAGGAGCACCAGGATTCACTCTCCAGTTCCCAGGGGGATAAGCTCTGGCTAGACAAGGTTGCAGCGAATATAAGAAGTTAATATTCTCAACTTTCAGTTTCCCAGGGTAGTACAGGAGAGGTAGTACATCTAATTGAAATCTGTAGGTGACCATGGTTCGAAAGCCCAACTTTGGGTCTATAATATCTGTCTTATACTTCCAACATCGCAGATGCCCAGAAATTAAAAAGAAAAAAAAAGTCTTCTCTAATTCAAGTTTCATTTACTTTTTCTAATAGTTATGCAAATGAGTAACAAAATTAGGTAAATTATGTGAATGTTCTTGCGAGCAGCTGCTTAATACTATCTAGCTCACTGCGTGACCACTGTAGTCTAATTGAAGCTCAACTATGATTCATTTAAATGGTGTAACTGTGAAGTTAGGTGCAGTGTGTATTCCTTTAAGCTCATAAAATGAAGTTAGGCATTTATGAATTAAAGGTAATCAGTCCTAGGTTTATACTAAATTTGGATATTAAGTACAAGGATACTTGTGGAGGTTAGCAATGCGAATGAGAGCTAGCTCCTTGCTTCTTGAGAGAAAACTTGTTTTCTTCCTTTTTCAGAATGATAATACAATGTCATTGCAATGCCCAAAACACAGTGGCAAAAGGAAAGCCTACCCACGATGTAAATGCTGTAATAAAATAATAAACAATAGCTGTGGTAAACACACTTGCCTAGAATGTGCAAGGACCTGAGTTCAGTCTCTAGCAACAGAAACGCGCGTGCGCGCACATGCAGAGTGATCAGGGGAGTATAAAATATTAGCAGATGTGTTGGACTGCTCCAGATGAGCAGCTATGAATTGCTAATAAAGTATGTTCCTCCCCAGAGAATCCGCCAGCTTTGTGTGTGCTCACCATCAA